ACCCAGGCTGGAAGCTGAGGAGGGTGAAAGCTGCGACCAAACAGGCAGGGAATTCCACTGTGGATTAATGGCTAAGACCTAAATTCCACCCTCCACATCTTTTAAGAGCAGGTTTCCGCTCCACGCAGAGAGCCGCAACGTTGTGGAGGCATGAATGTGCATGTAAACTATAAGAGGAGCAGCTTACTGTGTATATTGGGAGTGTAGATTAAAAGGTTTAAGGAAAACGAATGTAGCTTTGAGGGGAGGGAAAACCTGTCTGCTGTTTGATGCAAGTGTTGTGTCTACTCGCATCGCAGTGATGTGGTTTAAGAGCAGACAACGTTTCATTCTGTCTGTCCATGTAATTTACTGGCTGGACTCAGTGTCCAGCTTTGCTCGTTGAGGAGGTTATGAAAGCAAAAATACTCATGAACAATTAACCCCAGTGAAAAAGCACAATCTTTTTTCCTGTATTTTTCCTGTATTTTGCTAACAACAATCTCCCCACTGTTACCCAGTAGAAGATTACATGAAATGAAATGACTGTGCTATATTTACTGCTGATTAAGGTTGTCCCTGGTAAGCTTCAGCCTCTTTGGTAATCAGGTAGTATATCAGCAGCATGGTACTGTGGTGAGGGGGAGGTAGGACTTGCCCTCTGCAGGGTTAGGGTATGGCAGCTGAAGCGTGTCATCAAAACGGGGAGAGTTCAACCTTCATTCCACCTCTTAAAAGCAGCAACGCAGAAGAAAAACCAAACAAGGCAACACAACACAGTTGTCGTTTGCTTTTTATTGACCTGTAAAATCTTTTGAAATCATCTTATGTCAAATTGAATATTTGGTTAAAGCCTTTAAGCTATTGCAAGACCGTGCAAGGTATCGAAACATGGATGTCTTTGATCGTCTGCCAATTTGCCAGTTCTGTATTACCATTGAGTTGTGGGATAAAGCGGATAACAGCGAAATTTGTTCGTCTCTTGAAAACATTAGCTGCCCCCTTTTTATCCTAACTCTTCAAGGAAGTGTTCATCTTTGTAATTGCTGTCGTAGTACAGGCATGCGGTCCTTGTCTGCCAGCGAGTTCAGATGTTCTTCCTTAGCCAATTGGAGCTGATTAAGATCCAGAGATCTTAAGATGTGAGGGTTGCTCAGATAAGACAATTAGCTAAGAGCACCAAGTTTACCAAGTATTCAGGATGATAGAGGGGTAAAAACACTGGGCTCACCCGCCTTTAAAGGTCCCATATAGTATAAAGGTAGATATCCATGCGTTGTTGGATTATAAAGCAGGTCTAAATTCTACATTAATACTGTGGAAAGTATCAAAGTGCTCAGTCCACAGAGAAATGCACACAGCCTGTATTCAGAAACTGACCCTTAAAACCAGCTGTCAGGACTTCTGGAACTTTGTGATGTCAACAAAGGCCCGCTCTCAGCTGTGCCTCAAGCCCTGCCCACCCAGACCCACCATCCAACCTTGCAGGATTTGGTTTCTCTGAGTGTTTACCTGATATCTGTTACATTTTTATTCTATCACTCAGAAAACAGTCAACCAATCAGAAGAGAGGCTTAGAGCCTCCTGATTGGCTCACCAACCTGCTGTTACTAGAGCTCTAGAGAGAAGCCTGAGAGAGGTGATGTAAAACTACATTGAGATGGTTTTTGGTTCTTAAAACCACAAATATATCTTCTTATGGATCAAAGCTTCAAATAAAACACAGGAGAAGAAGGAAATATGGAGCTTTAAAGCAGTTTTAAAAAAAGTGAAAATTATACATATGGAATATAAATAAGGCAATTTGGTGCAGGGCCACCACTGCTGCCTTGTGACCCATGTGAGGAGCTTTCCTGTGCAGCCAAATATAACTTTCACTCTGCAGACCAGGTGGGTGTAACTTGGTGATGTGGCACCACAGCACACCGAGGTCTGTCCTGGAAATAGTGCTCGCCTCTGTCTGTGGCCTGGCGTTGCACAACTATTTATTCAGCCACTGCCACTGTTGGACAGCAGGTCTTCTGCAGGCTACCAAACCTGCCAGCAGTGAGTGTGCAGATGAAACTGGCTGAATAAAGCAAAAAGCTTTACATAGAGAGGAATCCCAGACCCACCGCAGCATAGACGGTAAGAGAAGCTGTCTGCTGCGATGTCTCACATCTCAACCTCTCAGTCAGAGTAACGGTTTAGTGTTCATGGTGAAATAACATAAGTCAGCATTTTGTGGAAGTGGAACACACTTTTTATAATTAGATCAGCTGTGGCTTCTGCCTCGAAGAACATGGGAAACAGTGCCAAACCTGGTACTGTGAAAGAATTTTTCCCTTGACTCAGACGAACTCAAAACAAATACAGTAGATATATTTGCCCTCATGCTGTATTTAAACCTCTCTGCACAAGTAGAAGCTATTGTTAACATTTAACATTTTCATCCTATTTATCCACCGGCTGCCAGTGGCAACAGCACTTTTCTGTTTACTTCTCTCAGCGGCGGTGACGGGTTAACACTCAGGGACTCCAGTCACAATGTGCTGTACAAACACAGCGGTGACAGTTCAGTGAGGAGCTGCAGGGTCACGTTGTTAGAAGCGACTGTCTTTGTCAAACAATGAACAGATGGCGAGTCATTTGCCGCTGTGTTTGCTAAACGGACTGTACCCGCTGGTCCACCGCACTGCAGAACATGTTCATCTTAACAGTTCATTTAGTCTGATGTGGAGTCTGAGAAACCCAGTTTTCAGAAAAGGTCTGTTTAAACAAACATGTTTTCTCACTTAACTATAGTTATCTTAAGTCATAGATTTAGCTCTAGTCTTTGAGATTTCTGATAAATTGAATTCTGTCTTTTACTCAAAGCACCGAAATGCCACATTTGAACAATTCATAAGCATCTTCTCCTTTCAGAAACAATATCCTGGCTGCTCTCAACAATCCACAGACCTCAGTTTTTACTGGAACTACTTTCTACTGAAAACAAAATCCTAATGAAAAGTTTTCACAGTCATTGACAGGGACAGTGTTTTGCTACTTGAACAATAGAAGTGTCATTTTTCATTGGTTTCAGCAACACAGAGATTCAAATCAAAGATCAAAGATCAAAGATCAAAATCTTAGAACCTGGGCACAGAAGCCCCAGACAAGCTGCATGGCTAGTTAGAGACTGTCCCATAGGTCATCTGTGCAGCAGCTTATTATGACCCATAGTTAGGTTTTGTTGCTAGGCGACACCTAGTCGTGTAATTACGACAGGAGCAACGGGAAAAGTGCGGTGACGTAGTACAGAGAGACAAAGGCCATGTCAGGAGGAGGCTGTGGTGGATGGATGAATATGACACAGAAGAGTGGTGTTCGATTCGCATGTGAAACTAGTAGTTTATATTGTAACCATGACAACAAAGATTGTCTAATGTTTAGGAAGTACTTATTGTTACTGAAATCACGATCTTTTCTTAACCCTAACCAAGCCATGACTGTTGTTATAATAACCATGGTGATGAAGGTTGGAGGACTTATTGGTTAGTTACTACTATGAGTTAGTGAGAAAATTGGATGAACTGACTCTTTAAAAGGTCATGGGTAAGAGACGTCTACAGTTTGACTTAATTGAAACAAGGCAGAACAGGGATTAAAGAACCCTGAAATAAACTGATTTCCATTAGAACTAATCTACTGAACCCCACTGGTGAGATTTGAATGTTCTCCTGTGGAGCCCATCAACACCACTGTGCCCATATGATCCCATAGCTACTGTTGCTGAAACTCAGCTGGCCATTAAAATGCAGTGAGGTGCAGGATTCGATTGTATAATGTAATATATGAGGCAGTGTCAGAAAACATGTGTTAGGCAACATGTGAAAAACCATTAACTTTTATGTTGTGCATTAAGAGATGAGCAGTGTTCATATGAGTAGGTAACTGTGCAGGGGCCACTCTGTTCAGACAACAGGCAAGAAATGATTTGTTTATGAAAGCTGCTTTGTAGCTAATCGGATTTCTGCAGAATTACCAGTGCCCTTACAACGTTAGTTGTTATAGTAACAACACTGGCAGGAACATTTTCTACCCCTGTTCTATCCATAGGTGCAACAATAATTTAGACAATTTATCGTCCACTGTGGTCCAAACTAAAATATCACAGCTATTGGAAGGATCGCCATTACAGTTTGTACAGATGTTCATGATTCCCTGAGGATGAAGCCTGCTTACCATGGGATTGACATTCGTGGTTTTGATGTGAAATGTCTTGGCAATTATTGGATGAACTGCCATAAAATATGATACACACATTCATATCCAAAGTCCTTATAGGCAAGTCTCACCACTTGGCAGCCATCTTGGCAAATCTGATAAAAAACTGTTTGACAAATGTGGTGACTTTGTCCTGAAATAAGGATTAAAATACTTTTTCCCCCACAGATTATACTAATACTATGACACAACAACACGATTGGCTTGATATGTTTCCCGTTTGGCTGATATAAAGCAGATGACTGGCTTATTTTATGGAGGGGTGGGATTTGTGTCATACAACCGCATTCATGCTCGCGGCTATAGTAATTAGATTAACCTTGGTTTATGACTGAATACCTGCAAAACATGACATCTCCATCAGCCTTAGCTGAATTTCCTGTTTAGTTCTTGTTAGCACTTGTTAACATGCTAAACTAATATGGTCAGTGTGGTAAACATTACTTGCTAAACATCAGAGTTAACACTGTCATTGTGAGAATGTTAGCATGCTGACATCAGCAATTAGCTGAAAACAGTGTCTCAGTGCACAGCCTCACAGAATAGCTAGTATGGCGGTCGACTCGTAGCATTGTTCTGATGGTATTTCGAAGTTGTGGTGACATTCTCTTCCATTACCTCTCTTCTCTTCTCTGTTGCAACATATGACATCATATCTTGTACCTGAACAGCTAATTTCAGTGATCACATATATATTTTTTGACGTGGTTTGAATCCCAATGAATGAATGAGAATCGGGACAGTTTTTCACCTGATCTGTATTTCCTCCTCAGGTTGGACCTCCTCAGCAAGCTCATCAACCAGAGAGAGGACAACTCCTTGGTGTCAGGAAGCCAGCCGAATCTTGCCACCCCCTCTTCAGCTTCCAGACAATCTCCAAAATGGCTGCTGGCTTTCCTCAGACTTCCACCGGCCTCAGGAGTGAGAACAGCCTCTCCAAGTCTGGCATGGCTCACTGAAGCTTTGCAGATGAAGAAGAGGGCTCTGAGAGTTCGTCGCCATGCCCACTCAGGTTCGCGAGGGGGCCACCACTACCCTCAGCACGCCCAGCTGATGAGAGTGGGTTGCGTCTTGGGAACCTGCCAAGTGCAGAACCTCAGCCACCGGCTCTATCAGCTCATTGGTCAAAGTGGCAGAGAGGACTCGTCCCCCATTAACCCCAGAAGCCCCCATAGTTACGGATGAGTTAGACACGTCCAAACACCCACAACCAGTCTATGTATATCTCCATTTATTTATCTCTTAATGTATTACTGGTAGTCTTTGCATTAAAGTTTGATGTAGTCCATAACTTTTGTTTATCCATCTCAAAATGACAATTATACTGAGCGTCACGCCTTGCTACTTTTTGTGCTGATTGATGGATTTAAAGATTCAAATTCAAGATCCTAACTTTTTGAAACCCCTGATTTCAGTTCTCCCACCATCCTGAGAACATTTGAAAGACATTGAAGTCGTTTCGATTCTCCCTCCTGAAGGTTTGACGTCTTAATCCTGTTAATGTAAGAATGAGGGCTTGTCTTCAACACCATCCAGTGGCCTGGTCCTGTCTGCCAACTGACCTCCCCAGTGGTGGTTATCCTGCGGCTCATTGATCAAACACTTAAGCCCTTGATGTGGATTTCAACTTGCTCTCTGAGCTGGAGCCTTGTCAAAACCAATGTATTCCCAAAGACCTCTTAAATGACCCAATGAACCCTTTTACCTTTTTTTTTTGTGCCCAACCTTTTTGTCATTTTTTTGTCATTTCACAACTGCATATTTGAGTATGAACACTGACATCCCTGGAATAGTCCACAAGCTTTCAGCTGAACTGGGAATTCATCACTCAGCGGGAATTTGTGTTTCGAGACCACAGTTTACATTTGAAACCAGCCACAGCTCTTGGGTTATACCCAATTTTAAGAGCATTCAGGACTTAACCACATGGGCTCCACACTGAAAAAGAAAGTTCAGAATCTAGTGCTTTGGGAGGAATCTGAACACCCAAAGGATCAGTGTCTGTGTTGCATTATAGTGGCTGCTTGGCTGACACAGTAGTAGTAAACCTTGGAGCCATGGATCAGCAATCTGTGATCTGCTGGCATTTTCCCTGCCAGAGGCTGAGTCTGAAATATTAGCCCTTTCACGTGATTCATAAGTTCCCCCTACAAGTCAGGACCTTTGGTTGACAGCAGTTTAATAAACCTGGCTTAATCACTTCAGTCATATGTACCGCCACAGCAGGGGAGGGGGGGCCCTGAGCCTCCCATGGTCACACTCAACACTAATACATAAATATTAAGGCGGATGGCTTCCGCACAGTTGCACACATGCAGCCTTGAAGGGTCAGTTCACCTAAAATACTCAAATCAACAACACTACTCTCTTATTTTGGAAGTATTTTGGGGATTTTCCTGGAGACAAATGTCACTGCTGAATTACGTCTCAAACAAAATACAGTTCACCTCCACTGTGTTTGGGTGGAGGTAGAAATCTCATTCACACATTCGGCCAAATAAAACCCAAACTAACTTTGCATAGGTACATTAGAAAACATTTTTCCCTTGGTAACTTGGGTGAACTGACCCTTTAAATGGTTCTGTGCCAAAAACAAAAAACATTTTTTAATAAAAGTACAGTGAGATGATGCTTCATAGCAAGCGACCAATTAAGCAAAGTGGACTCTGGGAATAGATTAATACTCTCAAGTGCATCTAGTAGTGTTTTTCCTTTTATGTTCAGTTTGAGGTTGTAAGACAATGAGATGTTTTGGGGCGTCATTTGCTATAAATTGGCAAAAACTAAAAGTGGAGGTCATAATGAGGCTCTAAAACTGGCAAATCCACCAATAAGTCCTCCAATCTTCTAAAAGAACACACTTGTCTTTGTATATGGTGGATTATGATGATTTTTAATTAGAATATATTTGAAAAAGTCAACTGTTCCTTACATTTCTTAATGGAAATACCTGACAAAACCGTGCACAATACAGTATATATCAAATTTTATTGGAAGCACATTGTATGTTAAATGGGTTTAAAGCAGTTCACGAGGCGGCGGCTTCAAGCTCCACTGTTACAATGCGGGTTTCTAATGAGAGACCACAGTGACCAAAATGTTAGGTGTCAGAGAGCCCAATTTCAAATGTGTGTACACAAAATAGCGTAGCACCATCGAAAATACATGCCCAGACATTTCCTTTTTCTCTATTTATGTCCGTCTTTGAAATGGTGGGCAGATGATGGACTGAGAATAACTGAGGTCAGGCTCTCCTCACAGTGCAGGCTAGAATTTGACAGGCCTTAAACTTTCCAAAAACAAAAAAAAAAATGCAACCAAAACTACTAAAACCGATATTGTTAGTGAGAAAACATGTTTATGTTACATATTATTTACATACTTCTGAGACTTCTATATTGTAGCCTGATGTTGAGTTGTTTAGTGTTTCTTTGTAGGAATACAGGCCAGACTTTCTGATTTATGTGCAGTCATTAGATTATTAATTATTCAGTCATAGAGGTACTTTAGTTTTTGTTATTCTGCACATAATTCACAAACGTAAAAGTTATGTAATCATAAGAGCATGAGCTTAAACTCACCAAATACCTGGCAATACTTGACATCATACATTAATGTGCTCTTTTACATCTTATTCGGGGTGTCCTATCTTATTCTTCCTCATCAACAGCTTCTTCATATATTTAGTCTCTCGGCCCATCTTGCCTTTCTTTTCCTCTCATCTGTAATCATTGGAGCCTGGAGGTCACAGGGTAATAATCATTGGTTCCTTTAGCCCTAAATCTAATCTGTTCAAAGGCTTGCTGAGGTGAAACATGCCATTCTCTCAGCTGTAACGGAGCTAATCAATGTCTCGTGACGAATCATTAAAAGGCTTTTTAAACGCTGAAAAACCCTGGTGGATCTCTCTTCTTTTTCAAAATGTACCTTTTCACACATCTTGTGTGCGTGCGTATGTGTTTGAGCTGAAGTATGCACCTTATCAGGACGTTTTATCTCCTGTGTTTGATCGGTGCTCGGGACCATTGTGCTCCCAGGCTTTTTCTTTTTGCGTAGTATGTTTTTATGACGTCAGGCATTGCGTCTTGTTGAGTTGTGTAAGCAAACTGTGCACGACCGCTAATACCTCCCCCGTAGAAACATGTAGAGCTCTCGTGGCTCCTTACTGCAAAAACACATAACAGTAGGAATGAGTGCAGAGTTAGCCTGTTGAAAATGTCAGTTTTGTACAATGTAGGAAGATCTCAGTAGGTTTGCTTTTGCTTTTTTCCTTTTGAAAGTCACCTGATCGCTTTAGGGTCACAGGAAAGCACTTTAATGCAAGCATGTGTATCGATAGTCTCTCACGGCTTGAATTTCACTCATTGTAATTAACTTGTGAACGTTGAACGAGGTTCCTCTTGTAAATGTTGCATCTGAGATTGAATGTGTTTGAAGATGTCAGTGCACTACATGTGGCATCAGGATGACTGTGATTTATACTTATATAGGTATATATAAGTATACTTAAATATATGTTACTGTGTGTGTGTGTGTGTGTATTCAGCCAAACTATTTAAAGAAACTTGTATATTTAAATGATCTTTGTAAGTTAATATCTGTATGTCACCAAAGACTATTTATCTCATCTTTTCCACTGCTCCTTAAACGTGACCTTATGGTAGGACAGGAAGTCTTAACTGTAGTTAAAATGTTACTGTTTGACAATGTCCTTCACTCTGTAAAATAAAGAATTATACTGTAGTGTGATGGAGTAGTGAGTATGATTTAAGAGTATGTGTGTGTTTGTGTGTGTGCATTGGTAAAGGAAACAAAGACATACATGATAGAATAATTTAATAATAATAAAAAAATCAAGATATAATTAATAATTAATTCAGTATTTTTTTAAAGCTCCATATTTTCCTCCTGTGTTTTATTTGAAGTGTTGATCCTTATAAGATATATTTGTGGTTTTAAGAACCAAAAACCATCTCAGTGTAGTTTTACATCTCTTCTCTCAGGCTTCTCTTGAAATCTAGTAACAACAGCTTGGTGAGCAAATCAGAAGAGAGGAGGCTCTGAGCCTCTCTTATATATATATTATATATATATATATATATATATTATATTATATATATATATATAATACTACTATATATATAGCAGCAGATTCCAGGTAAACATTCAGAAAAACAATCAAACCAAATCCTGCAAGGTTGGATGATGGCCGTGGACATGGCTGAGAGAGGTGACTGCTTTGTTGTGACATCACAAAGTTCCAGAAGTCCTGACAGCTGGTTTTAAGGCTCAGTTTCTGAATACAGGCTGTGTGCATTTCTCTGTGGACTGAGGCTTTGATACTTTCACAGTATTAATATAGAACCTAGACCTGCTTTATAATCAAATAACACATGGACATCTGCCTTTATACTATATGGAGCTTTAAAACACTCTGTCCACCCTTCTCCATGTTACTATGTCCTTGACCAAACTATTGTGACCCAATAGAAAAGAAAAGAAGTCAATCATTACACGACATAACTCTCCAATGGAGGACAAGGGACAATGTCAATCAAACATGGCGAGACATATGATCAGGGTATGATGTGACAGCAGCTACGGTAGCAGTGAAGGTCGTATGACTGAGCAGAGTGAATGAGTGTCAGGGGGTGTGGTCAGCAGGAGACAAGCCATTGGACAGAGGAGAGAGGAAGGACAAAGGGGGATAACAGGAGAATTTCAGAATTCATATATTTCACATTTTTCCACTTGCTCATTTCACGACCTACATCACAAGCAAATTATTAACAAGCAGAGGGTTGAGTTGACCATTTGAACCCAAATGTTCCGCTCATTTCCCTTGAACTCATTTTCCTTAAGTCACTTCAACATTACAGCAGCTAACCCACTTTTTCCAGTCTGTTTGAGTTCATCCTCACATCCCGGATCGGCTTGTTCCAGGACTTCACTTTAGCTGCAGACAGGAGACAGATGATAGAAAGAAAAAGACTCCAGAACAGCTTCAGTGAACCTTGTCATAGATTATCTTATTCTCTTGAACTCTTCTGGAGGGATGAACAGTTTTCTCTCACATTATTTTCATACTCATTACTCATACTTAACTGTTCAGTAGGGCCATGTGGAGGAGGCATCGTATTTGTTATATTTCACCACTTACTGTATTTATTCAGGTTTTTCCTTGAATTTGTCATTCATTTATATATAGCTCACATTTAGCTTGACATAGTGCTTTAGAAACGTGTATGTAAAATAAAGTCCTCTGGGTTTGACTTTGCATCATGAGGTTGATAAAGACATTAAACCTGAGTGGACACGATATCTCAGTAACACCTTGAAACTTCTTCAAATTTTGCACAAATATTCACTTGGACTCAAGGATGTACTGATTCGATTTTGATGGCTAAAGGTCTAAGGTCAAAGGTTTAAGGTCACAGTGACCTCACAAAACGTGGTGTTGGTCTTGTGACCGCAATATTTCCTTAACGCTTTGAGAGAATTTCTTCAAATTTGACACAAATGTTCACCTGGACTCAAGGACGAACTGACTGGTCGTCAAAGGTCAAAGTCACAGTGACCTAACAAAACACTTTTTAGCCATAACTCAAGACTTCACACAGCAATTATGACAAAATTTCACACAAATGGTTCATACCATTCATATATGACCCAGTCCACAGAGAAATGCACACAGCCTGTATTCAGAAACTGAGCCTTAAAACCAGCTGTCGGGACTCCCTGATACTTTGTGATGTCACAACTAAGAAGTCATCACCTTCAACCATGCCCCAAGCCCAGCTCACTTGGACCCACCATCCAACCTTGCAGGAATTGGTTTCTGTGAGATTTTGGATCTGAGTTGAGTATCTAAATCTGAGGGGGCAGAGGGTTTTACCTGAAGGGAAATGTTGCCTCTTTCACCCTCTAGGTGGTTTTAAAAGGCCGTTCTAGGGTTTTTCAAACTTATCTGCACAAATTACAAACACACATTCCTTGTCTATGTTTGTATGTGTGTTTGGTTCCCTTTGCCTTTGTGTTATCACTCTGGTCCCATGTTTTATCACTATGTAAATAACAAATACCTGACCGTCCACCAGCCCTTGGTTATGTCATATCGTCCTGCGTGCAGCTGATGTATGTCAGCCAGCAGAAACTGTGTCACATATCAGGCTTTCAGTTTGCTGTCACAGTCGTGGAGTCATGTGCACATAAGAATAAGAGACTGAAGAATTCATGTTATTTTCTAGACCAGAAAAATATCTAGCATCATCCAAGTGTTAACAAAAAGCAGAGAATTCAAAAACACACTGTACGAACTGAGAACCACGAACTGAAGCAGGTCAAGTGACTGGAGATAAATAACTTATTGCAGTGATTTCTAACCTTGTGGAAACTCACATGAGACCAGATCTGGTTCCTGTTGCCTAATGGAAGAAATGGAAAAATACCAACATTTAAACATATCAGGTGATGGCAGAACATTTTACTGCACTGCAAGTTAGAGCAGTAAAATGTGCTGCACTCATGTGCTATAATGGTTGTGAAGCTAATATAAAAGAAAGGAATATGCTGTATCATTTTTAACAAACAGAAAAGCATAGTGTACATGTAGGGTCACATGATTATTTTCAACACGTCTTTTGTCTCAGTCGACTGATTAATCGATGTCAACGTCTCCATCTGCAGGGATCTTCATCAGGCTCTCTCAATTCACCATCACAAAGCAGAGGAGGCTTAATATAGACACAAACACATTCATCACACAGGTGATTGTGATTTACATGACTGAGAGTCAAGCTGTCCTCAGGCTGAACCAATCAGAGCAGAGCTGGACAGCACTGTCTGATCCCACCACAGAAACACTTTGCTCAGGTAAGTAAAATGGATCTGAAAGGAAAGTGAATATTGGACTTAAATTTGTCAGATAGACAGAAACACGACTACGCATTAATGCTAACCTTGCTCCGTGTGCTAGATGATAAATAGGCAAGTGTTGGCTAACGTTCATCATGACAGTTTTATGAGATGATGATATATTAATGTTGTGTTAACAGCTTGTTGTTTACACACCTGTTTACACATTCAGCAAAGATGGAGCGTTAGCATTAGCACTGACGGAGAGTCCTGTTTTTGTTCATTTGATAACTTTATCAATTTGAGGACTTTGATGGAGAATTCTATCACGATAAATATGTTCATATCACTTTATATTGATAATTATTGATCATTTTTTAATAAATTCCAGGAGAAAAGTAGTGCACTACTGTGTGGGTTATGTCTTGGTATTGTTTGGATGATTTGTCATATGGTGGTGTTGAGGACTTCCTCTCCATCATGGCTCCACTGTCTGTGGATTGTTTCTGGAGGTGAAACATGTTGTGTAATCCAAAGGGCGGAAAAGGCTGTCACTTGTAGCACGCTCCATTATCAAGGGATATGACAGACCTAGTTGATTTTTTATTCTCTTCTTTGCTCTGGTTTGGCCCTGACCAATTCCTAAAAATATTTGGGTCTTTAGTTGCTAGATGCGCATTGCCAAACATGTGAGTTGGTGTTGGGCAAGTAGCTGAAAACCACTGCTGCTGCTGCTGCTGGAAATGACCGTTTTTATAACTTTATTACATTGGGTCATTGCAGACCTACTGTGTACATTCTCTCCTTTCTGTAAAGGCTAATCATCTTCATGTGGTCATTTTCTATTAATGGAAAGCAAGAGGATAACTATACCAGATGGTGGCAAAGTAATACAGACTAGGCACAGTCCATCCATGTGAATGTGGTAAACACACAGAGAGCAGACACAGTCCTCACATCATACACCTGTCCACAGAGGCCTCTGGATCCACACTGTCAAAACAGTTACATTCCAACACACAACATGACTCAGGGCCAACCTTTATGTAAGTGTTACACTTACACTATCTCCAACACAAGCCCAGACACATACTTTGGACAGAAACACCTGTAAGGCTCAAGTGCACACGTATGCAAGTCTGACAATGCAGATTATGTTCATGTTGAAAGAGAGACAGTGAAGCAGTGAGGAAGCAGATTATTTTGTTTGCTCGGAGCTCATGCGCTGAGCTCCACCATCATGCTGAAGGTACAGAAATCAAGAGCAACTGTTGCTCATGGATGCAATGTGGAAATTGACAACTGAGAAAGTGTGGAAGAAGTTTGTTGGAGAAAGCTAAGCTTGTGGATTCCGCTGCTTAGAGGCTTTGTGTTAAACTAAGCTAACAACATACATGTAGTCAACAAGCGGCAACCTCAGGGGCTTAAAAATGAAGTCAACACAGAAGTGCCCAAAACTGCAGTTCCTCGAATGACCACTAGAGGCTCCACAGACCCCCCCCCCCGTGTTAAAATGTCCAACTTTACAGCAGAAATAAACAGCCTGGTACAAAAAACAGTTCCGACCTCTACAGCTAACTTCCTCCTTCATGACAAATGTTTATATATATAACTCACCTGTTTCCATTTGATTAAAATTATGGAGAATTGAGGGCATGGCCTCTTTGAGTGACGGCTTGCTGCTGTCACCTTTTGGAGGATTTGTCATGCGAATATCTAGACTATTTGTCTGATTGTAGTTGGGTGATGTATTAGAATTACATACTGTACATGTAGATCAGCACTGTTTTTGAACCATTTATTTGCTTAGACTGTAAATAAAGATGGACGTAATCTGTGACATCACACACAGGTTTCTGAAGTGCAGTTTTGAAGGTCAGAGTGAGCCGC